GTAATTTCTCTTGTTTATTTTGCTGTTCGAGCTGCCATTGTTGCAGGATTTCTTGCAACTGCTGTTGTCTCTCTTCTTGTTTCTTTTCTTTTTCCTCTAACAACTGTTGTAATTTCTCTTCAGAGAGTGGGATAGAAAAAAAAAGAGAAGAAAAATGGAAACGAGAGGCGGAAAATCAAACTACAGCTTAGCAGATTTGATGGCAGCAATACAAAAACAAGAAAAGAAACAAGAAGAACGAGACACCAATTTGTTACGTCTCCGTTTGTCAATTAACTTTCCGTAACTTCGTTCCGACGAAACTTAAGCGACACAAGTTCTTTCTTAATAAAAACTGGTTGATTCTTTCCGAATACAACTTTACCGATACACTCAACTTCAACAATCGCGCTAAACAAACGCTATAACGACGAACGTTCTCAATAATACTTCTCACTGCAGATCAATTACTCACTGTCTATCCACACGTTACCTTCCCCTCTTTTATATACCAGTCTACTCTCCATCTAGTAATTACTAGAGCATTCGCCAAGATACGGGATAGTTCTAGAAACGTGGCGTCACTGTAGTCATGTGACTCGCTGACGCAACATTATCAAATTCTCAGTATAAAATTCGGTTGGTAATAATTACAGAGAATGACATGCCAGAAGAAAACTACAGTACATGCTAGTTAACCAAACACAGTAATGAAAAGCATTTTGATATCGATACAAGTATGCAAACTGGGTCACTGAATAAAGCCATGAAGAAACTCTGGGCAGTGGGACACGTGCTTAGTTGAAATACATTCCAAGCCTGTATCATTAGATAAAAAAAGAGAAAACCAGTAATTCATTTTACCAGCATGAAGCCGGTAGTCGTTAAATCGACAGATTGAAGAAAATTAATGGAGTCTAGGGTGTACTATCACGATATCAACGAATATCTTACATCACGTTCAGAGAGGAGTTCAGAGTTGAGGTGATAATGAAATAAAAAGTACTAAATTTGAGCCTTATAGAGCGGGGGTGTATGGAAGGAAACATGTATAGAGTGGAGGCCAAATGGCCTGGATTTTAGGTATGTCAATAATACAAATAAGGACGTGACAAACTCTATCAAAATATATGAGTTGGCAGTATGTTACAATACTGATACGACGCCTTATTGGTACGTGAGAAATAACCAATCAGAACCCAGAAACAGTAGTTACGGTTTTGGTTCTTTTTATAACAACGTTAACAACCAATCAAAAGCCAAGATATACGTACTATGGTTAGGGTTTTGGTTCCCCCTACAACGACGCCAACATCCTATTAATTAAGTGTAAAAAGCCATAACTTAAAAGAACAAGAGAAAAAAAAAGAAAAAGAAGATGGTCCTTACGTTCTTCAGTGAATCCTTTGAGAAGATGTCAGCTTTAGCATCTGTGGAGAACTTTCACCACTCAAATTTCACGTAAATCTAAATAGTTTTTCTACTTCGTCTAGTAATGTATCTATCATACAGTATATCATGACAGAGGAGCTCATATGAGTTAAGCTACTTAATTATTTACTGAATACTGCAGAGATGTTAAAAAGTTTAGTAGAGGAATTATTCATGAGACATCCAAGTGCTAGAGAGAGCAATGCGAATGTAAAATTTCAGAATTTGTTCAATTAAATTTATGTTTTGTGTTACCTGGTCTCCGAGTTGTTTCTTTGTTCTTTACATAAATTTCCTAGTGTTGGTGGCTCATGACCCTTACCTACGACTGCATTTAACAAAATACCCTGGTAATAAATACATTCATTCGTAACGAGTGCAGGTTGAACCCGACGACAAGAGAGAGCCCATAACAGAATAAACATCTAGACCACTGGATTATGTGGAAGTCAGCATAGAAATTGGCTAGAGTGGGAAGCAGAAAAAAGCTTATCAACATCTATTTAAAGATCATGGTGGACAGTATCTTGTCATCAGATCATTCCTACACCTAAGATAGCAAAAAGAAACTGGTTGGACGTTCATAATCTCGCATAACAACAGTATTCTACATAAAGCTGGTTTAGCAATCAAGCTTCCATGAGCATTACAATGAGTGAGCTGGAAGCAATAAAAGAAGCTGTTCTCTGCATTGCTGTAAGCAATATACTGCAAATGGACAATATCACCAACATAATATTTGTGATTGACTCACAGGCAATGCTGCATAAAATTCAGACTTTTTGAACACCAGATAGACGGCAGAAAGCAAAGCAACTACATTGTAAGACCATCACCTGAATGTATGTGTCAGACCATACAAAGAAAAAGCTAAACCAGGAATCTGACAGCTCGTACTAGAATACTCTTCATCAAATCCAACACAACTCTACCGGCAGGACATTAATCTCCTCGATACCAGTAAGGTGAAAGTAGCAACTACGAGAGTCTTCATAGACATCTATAGTGAGTGAGATTGCTAAAAACAATGTATTATATACTGTAGCTAGGGAAAACAAAATTTGGGGTAGCAATAGGATAGCATATAGCCAGAAGGTAACATGAATAAAAGAACTCAATTATACCTCCTAGTCTCCACAGAGGCCAGCACTTATCAACACATAATACTGTCACGTAGTACGCAACTCAAATCGACATACAACCCCAAACCAAAGAAGAGTTTCTTAGTAATATATTTGTAAAGATTCCAAAGAAGCCATATGAGATTCTGGCAATAAAAATTCATACATAATTCAGATCTTCGTCTCAGAAATTTTTACAAGAACCAAGTATATTTGTGCCACGGGATCTACCTCTAAAGGAAAGCGTGAGGTTGAAATAATGAGCAGAGTGAGAGAAAGACTTGCCACAAATTCTTGTTTGTTTGTTTGTTTGTTTTTAATTATGCACAAAGCTACACAAGGGCTATCTGTGCTCTGCCCACCACGGGTATCGAAACCCGGTTTCTAGCGTTGTAAGTCCGCAGACATACCGCTGTGCCACTGGGGGGCACCCACAAATTCTATAAAATTATAGGAGTTGAAGAAAACATCACCAAGCTGAGATTTAATAATGTTGTGAGAGATGTCGCTCAGCTGCAGCTCTAACGAACTTCAAGTGAGATTCTCTGTGAAAAATGCTCTTATCTGTGTATAGTGATATTCGTAACAGATGTATTATTATTCTGTAACACGTATTCGTTTCACAGATTCACGTCTGTGATTTGAAGTGTTGTGATACATACGAAAGTGTAACATATGGTGTACACAAAAAAATAAGTAAATTTGAAATCCATATTTTGCGATACTGAATTCATTTTTTGCAATTGCCTGTAACAGTTGTCTTTTATCTGTAACAGTGCACAAATAAATTGTGTAACACTAATGAAATGAGAGGGACAACTTTGTAACACTAATGTATATATAATATTGTAAGCAGTTATGTAAATGTTTTGTGTGATTTATTTTATTTTCTCACCCAGAGTTCTTATTGTTTAATTTTTGGCAGTTTAGACTTTATTCTTTTAATTACCTAGATTGTAACTTAGTTAATGATTCTAATGTTTCCATTTTTACTAATTTTATGAGTAATTCTTGAGTTTTGTACCTTAGTTTTGGTTTCATTGAATTTATGTTTTTATTATCCTAGCTGATACTTTAGTTAATTGACAAATTCATTGATTTTTTTCATTAATCTATATTATTCAATTATCTTTGTCCCAGTAATACGGAGAATACTCATTATTCATCGTGTCTCTTTTCATTTTACATCCTTTACTTTTGTATCTTCTTGTTTCTACTTAACATTAAAACGCTTTAAACTGCAGTATCTTTCTACTTGTATATAAAACATGCGATTTTTTTATCCATTGTTTAATTCTATATTCACATATTTTATGTTTCTACCTTTTTCAACTTCTGTTAACACACCCACACGCCCCCCAGTGGCACAGCGGTATATCTGCGGATTTACAACGCTAGAATCCGGGTTTCGATACCCGTGGTGGGCAGAGCACAGATAGCCCTTTGTGTAGCTTTGTGCTTAACTACAAACAAACAAACTTCTACTTTCATTAGTGAGTCATTTGTTTCTACTAACATCCATACGTTTCTGCTTTTGTTTATTCTGCCATTTACACATTTCATATGTTTGTGCATTTAGTTTTTGTATCAATTAACACACTCTGTATTTTAATAATTTTTATTAACACATTGTGCTTTTTTGCCTTAGTTGTTCGTTCGTGGACATTTATTATTTTGTAATACTTTAAAGCTTTCCTTAGACTCACAGCTGTAGTTTCTGTTTTGATTTGGTTTTTCTGGAATAATATTACATTTTTACGAATCCTCAACACTTTATAAAACTATATTTCTTTGTTCATTCTATAAATGATAACAATATTTTCTCAAAACCTATATGGGCATGTAGACATCTGACACTCTAAAAATTGGGATTTAAAAGATGAAGTTTGTAATTGGCACTAGCTTGTCGAATATAATTAAATTATAAACAAAATAATAATAAATTATACATTAAAATCGAAATATAAATTAAATACCATGTAAGACCAAGTATTGACATTGTTTATATGAAGTTATATAATTTTTAATGCCCATTTCAACAGATGTTTCTTTATTTCTTTTTCAGAAGTGAAAATGATGCGTTTTCTACGTTGTCGGAAACGTGTGTGCATTTTGATAAACTTTTCGGCAGTTTTAGCACTAATATGTCTTTATATATATTACTCGAGCGATAATGTTTTGTGCAAAGTCTTATATTCTACAAAAACACAAAAGACAATTGGGAACCTCTCTTCTAAATTGAAATCATATAATGACTTAAACTATAACGTCTTTGATAATGTAACACACTTCGATTTACCAGGAACACCCGCAAGTGCGTTTATTAAAGTGAATAATCAGACATGTTTCTCGTATGGAACAAATGTAACAGAAACAGCTTCAGAGAGCTGTTCTTGCTATACCAGATGGGCTGGTAGTGACTGTGGAATACCACAATCAGCGTTGTTTTCTCGGACCTTTGTGGTCAAAATGAAAAATAACATTACTAGAAGACGAAACCCTAGAAGAGTTATTAACGCAATCAACATTAATAACGAAATTGAACTCCTTGAAATACGAGTGCACGAGCTGAAAGACGTTGTCGACGTATTTTTAATTTGCGAATCGTCATATACAACATTTGGAGAAAAGAAGCCATTGCGGTTACTGGAGAGACTTCATGGTGGATTTTTAAAAGAATTCCAGCATAAGTTTCTATATGTGTTTCTTGACCATTTTCCACCTGGTGGGTACAAAAATGGTTGGATTGCAGATGATTATCTTCGAACGTATCTTAGCAAAGAGGGACTTAAACGTCTTAATGGACTGAAGCAAGATGATCTTTTTATTCTAAATGATGCAGATGAAATACCTCGTGCGGATGATGTCATATTTTTGAAATTTTACGATGGTTTTGGTGAGCCGATCTCTTTATGGTACCGGTGGAATCTATATGGATTCTTTTGGCAAAATAAGATACCTGCTATTAAACTGTCGACTATATGCACTGTCGGGTTTCTACAGCAGGCCTATGACAACGACGCCATTTTATTGCGGAGACGTCCAAAAATAATAAGTCCTAAAATGTTAAAGAGCACTTCCTTTATACAAAGATATAGGCCTTGGTCAATTGGTTCGTCATCAGAGACTAGCGGTTGGCACTGTTCGTGGTGCTTCCCTTTGAAAGAGTTTCCCATCAAATTGAGATCAGCTCAAAGTGACGACGGACCTAGGTGGGGAGACTATCCTGAAAAGTACAACTTAAAATACATCAAACATCTTATTAAAACCGGTCTGTGGTTTGACAATCGTAAAGTCACTGTCTTAGTTAATGTAACAACTACAAATCATGCACCTTCTTACGTTCTGAAAAACTTCAAAAAATTAAAGTTTCTTATATTCAATCCTTACAGAAATTAACGTCATTTTTTAAGGAGAAGTAAAATAACAAAACCTCACTGTTTAAGATATGTTCACCTGAAAAAGAACGAATGGATAGTGAAAAACAGTTGCTTCACAATCATAGTCTTTTAGTTAATCATCAATAGTTTGTATTATCATTGACCTCTTTTTATCTTGAATGATGGCTCCCATCCGACTATAAAAATGGTTCCTAAGGTATAGTTTGGTGTATTAAAACTCATATCTTTATTAGTTATATTATCAACTAGGTTGCTGATAACAGTGTGATTTTTAAAGATGAGAAGTGTGACTGGTACATTTGTTCCTAAAATCACATTCATGGTTTCAGCTGGTCACCGTATAGGTTTTATTATCCAATATAACATAACATGTTTCGCATTACACATTCTTATCAATATTTATGTATTGTCAACATTAGCAAAGACAACATACAACCAAGAACAACGAAAGCCAGAACAATACTTTGTCATACGTTATAATTTTGCATGATTATTTAACTATATATCAATCTATATCTAAATTCGATGTAACGGAAAAATCAAAAATATTCCTTTGTAGTCATCAATTTTGTGGTTAAAAACACATAATAGTTACATAAATATAGGATTATATTTACAAATATTTTTAAAGGGTGTTACCTCACATTTGGATAACCGTATAGCACAACCTAAAAACTTTGATAAATGCTAACCATATTTATCACTATTACCATTCTAAAACCAATAATAAAATATTTGTGTTTAATTACGAAAAACCCGATAGTTTAAAGAATGCGATATTTTAAAAATAATCCTTGGTGATGTAAGTGATCTAAAATTTAAAAAAAACTGAGTCATAAACATTTTGAGAATGTAGATACTATTATTGATTTGTAAGATATCATTATTCTAAGGTGAACCGAAATTAAAACAAACAAATAAAGTAACATGCTCGCCCTTTCAGCCGTGGGGGAGTTATAACGTCACGGTCAATCCCACTATTCTTTGGTAAAAGAGTAGTCCAAGAGTTGACGATGGGTGATGATGATAGCTGTCTTCCTTCTAGTCTTTCGCTGCTAAATTAGGGACGGCTAGCGCAGATGGCCATCGTGTAGCTTTGCGCGAAGTTCAAAACAAACTAAACCAAATAAATTTTTAAATTTTTACTATGCTGTACACAATGAGATACAGTTCAGAAGACAAACAAAACAGCTAAATTTAAGTACAATCTATGTAAAGTTGAAGAAAAATACTCTGAGAATAATATTAACCCCAAATCATTAATTAAGCTAACTGAATGTGAACGAAGTGTAAAAATGTTGACAATAGTGTTGAAGCTACAAGTTGAACTAATGAGCAAACAGGAATTCAAGCAAAGCTAAGAAAATTATTTTGAAATTGAAAATGGTATTTAAGAATTAAAACAGTCAGCAGAATTCATGTCCAAAAACGTGATTAATTTTTGTTAGTTATAACTGGATTAACCAAGAAATTAAGAAGTTGAAAAATAAAAACTTGGAAATAGAAAAGGTGTAAGATGAGACGGAAACAGAGCAAGACCAGGAAAAAAACAGGTAAGAATAAGAAATGAAGAAGAACTAGAAAAAATAATTGGACAGAATGGTTCATTAAATATTTGTATTATATATTTTTTAGAAATAGTGTATAATGTTTTGTTTATGCTAGAAATAAATAAACTTCAAGATTTTAAACATCTTATATGTAATAATTTTCAGATTTACAAATATTTTTTGTTCAAAGATTTGGTATATTTTTAATACACTACATTTAAATATTAGAAGCTCAAGAGAAAAGTCTCCGCAAGTACTTAATATGTTAGACGATAAAGAAGATGTAGTAATAGTAACTGAAATGTGGGATGATGAACTAAATATATTATTCACTTGAATATGAAATGTATTAAAATGTTTTTGTTTATGTAAGAAATAAAACAAATGTGAAGAACTTAAGTATAAATGCCAAATGATGTAACTGTGGTACCTGCAACAATTAGGCAAGTTAATTCTGAGTCGTCATGTTCATGTGTCGTATGTCAACATATGAATTGAACTATGCAGTGATCAGATGGTGCGCGTAAACACTTTGAAAATATTAACAAGATAAAGCTTTGTACTACTGATGAAGTTCAGATACTCCAGGGATTTAAGGCAGATGAACAAGATGATAAGTACTGTACAGTACATAAAGAGATGAACAAGATGATAAGTATTGTACAGTACATAAAGAAATGAACAGGATGATGAGAATTGTACAGTACATAAAGAGATGAACAGGATGATAAGTACTGTACAGTACATAAAGAGATGAACAAGATGATAAGTATTGTACAGTACATAAAGAAATGAACAGGATGATGAGAATTGTACAGTACATAAAGAGATGAACAGGATGATAAGTATTGTACATAAAGGAATGAACAGTATGATAAGTATTGTACATAAAGAGATGAACAGGATGATAAGTATTGTATAGTACATAAAGAGATGAACCGGATGATAAGTATTGTACATAAAGAAATGAACAGTATGATAAGTATTGTACATAAAGAGATGAACGGGATGATAAGTATTGTATAGTACATAAAGAGATGAACAGGATGATAAGTATTGTACATAAAGAAATGAACAGTATGATAAGTATTGTACATAAAGAGATGAACAGGATGATAAGTATTGTACAGTATCTGATGTTAAACGATGAGTAGTGGTTTGACTGCTCTTGATCTTTCTATTGATTATAGTAATATTACTGCAGAGCAAACCTCAACATATTCTCTAGATGAAGTCATGATGTTAGAAAAACACGTAGGTTCAAGAAGTCTTGAAAGAAATGACTAATAACCCTATAAAGAGTTGAGTTCGTTAATTCAGGTCCTAGAACATTTACGATGGTGGTTGCTGTTAACGCCACCTGGGAACTATATCATACAGGAAAGCTGAAATACTTTTTGATTTCTAAAAACTCAGTTTAAGCTTATAACAAACTTTGATGGACAATCCTTCCTGAATGTTAGCTGACATGACTTTGTATTGAGATATCATATTTGTGGGTCTGGTAGGTCTACAACAGTCTTTCTGGAGTACACTAAGATAATTATTCTCTAAAACAAATTGCCAGGAATTGTGTAGATCTTGGTGTAATGTGTATTGTTTCGATAACCTTGGTCTGAGTTGTTTTTCATATTTAATGGATTCTGTGCTGTCGTGGAAATCATAGCGAGTCGAGCTGGTTGGTGTGTTGTAATAGTCAAAATATTTATGTTCTCAAACCTTGTGTTTTGGTTAAATTATCTGTGTGTATAGACATGTTTTACAGTTGACAATACAATATATGACTTGCCATATTTTTCGGTGTATAAGACGC